CTCCCTCCCCCTTCCTTCCTCCCTCTTACCCCACCTCCACACCCACCCAACACCCCTCCCCCATACGTATACCCTCCTCACCAGTGAGAGTACATGGATCCTGGTTGAGAAGCTGGCCATGCAGGCTGTGGAGGGCACCGTCAAGGCGGACAAGCTTCTGGAGGAGGCCAAGTCTCTAACGAGACGGGTCGATGTGGCGGTACAGACACAGGTGCACATTTACCGTTTGAAAACGGCTTATCTCGTCTTTATTATTTTATGTGTGGTATCGTGGTAAAATTAGGTACTTGTCAAAATAATGAAGTGGAAGAAACCAACTTTTTTCCACATGTTGTTCAATAATTTTTTCATTCATTGTTTTGTTTTGGTTATTTTTTTTCTTTATTACCAATGAAAAGCATACTGCTGTGTCGATTTTACTGAAAAATCTTGATCAACGGTGCAAAATAAATGTAAATTTGCAATTTCCAAGCTCGTACAAGCTTTGAAATTCACCAAACTTTTCAGCCAATTTCTCACTGAGTTTATCTCTGATACCAGACAGTGTGTGTTGTTGAAAGTAAGTCTCTGAGTTGAGTAGGAAGATTATAGTAACCCCCCCCCCCCACCACACACAGACACACACACACACATAATATACACACACCTCTTTCAATCGCAAACATCTCAGTTTTTATTCAAGATAGATGGGCATGTTCATTGTGAATTTAATTCAATCTTCACTATGTTCTCAGGAAAGCACCCCACCTCAGGCAGGAAGCTCTCGCCTGCAGAGAAGATCTGCCGTTCTCAGTGGGAGAAGACAAGGATCGGAGCAGAGGTCTACCAGCCCACAGAAAAATCAGCCTGATGGAGCTTCTACTGGTCCACCTCCACCCGCACCTCCTCCTCCTCCTCCACCACCTCCCCCTCCTCCTCCTCCAGGTTCGTCATTATGTACCCCCAGGGTTGTATTCTTCACATTTAAGAATATTTCTAGTACGAAGATCTCTTTGAAACTTTCAGTATTTCTCAAAAAATCATTTTGACGGACTTCTATGCAAAGCGTACGGATCGGATTAACGATTAAATTTCCTCTTTGGAAAGTGGTGGCACAGAGTTCACCATGTCATGTGGATACGATAGTAAAACACGACATACATATGTCTCAGTTTCAGTTTTTACACCAATTTCAAAACAAAGTGGTCAACTTGACAGTGGGGACCAGAGAATCTTTACGCCAAATTCAAAACAATTTGGCTTTCTTGTTATTGAGGTATAGAGAATATTTTGAATTTCCCACGTTATAATATATATTTTGATTGCTTGTACAGTCAAACTTGCCCTAACAGCCACCTGTCCATGACAATTATCTTTTACAAATGACCACTTCCCGCTTACCCCCCCATTCCATTTTAGAAATAACATAATGACCCTTAGACGTTCACCTGTCAAAGACGCACACTTTTCTCCTCAACGGCAGGTGGCAGGTTGAGACAATTTCAACTATATTTTATTTCTCAACAGTGACCTGTTCTTTTAGGGGGAACCTTTGTTAATCTACCAAGTTTCCTTACTCAGTAAAGTATATTCTGGATACCCATGTAAGTTCTGGCAAAGTCTGCTGGGCTGGGAAGTTTAGTATGATAAACTTTTCCTTTTCTTTCCTGCAGGTGCCCCCGCCCCTCCCCCTCCACCA